ATTCGATCAATAACTGTACATTCATAATTCCATACTGTAGATTCATAATCTCATAACTGTAGATTCATAACTCCTTAACTGTAGATTCATAACTCTATAACTGTACATTCATAACTCCATAACTGTACATTCATAATCTTCGAAGCTCAATATTCACAATTTTAAAGCTCCATGATCATAATTTTATCACTATATATGTTCATAATTGTAAGTTCATAATGTTAGAGCTCTGTGTTCATAATTTCATAATTGCATAACTGTACATTCATAACGGCATAACTGTACATTCATAATCCAAAAAAAAATAACGCCGTTAACGGCGTTAACGGCAAAACGCGCGCGAATTTTTTTTTTTTTAACTAAATGACGCGTTTTTTTTTTTAAAAACGACGTCGTTTTGGGCCCGTGTCCACAATTCATTGTGGACACGGGTCCAGGGCATAATTTGCCCCTTTCAATGCCATAGTGTGTTAACATGTCAAAAACATGCCTTTTATCGGGAGTGTGTACTGGGTCAATCCCGCTTTGTGACCATAATTGACAAAGGGCCACAGGGAGCTGAGTTTGATGGGGATTATTCCCTATCGACCGTATGTATATGGTGGTCGGTAACGGATCCACTATATGACTAAAGCTCAGTCTAATCTACACCGACTTGATACGCTCACTTTCCCGACCATCTCTCCTAACGAGCTCAGCTATAGGCAGCCATATGTAGGTGCTATAATAATCGTCATGTCTCGACCTAATCAACTATTTCGAGCTTCATAACTTAAACCAACAAGCAGACTAGGTAAGGGGACCGTAGCCGGAACCGACCCTAGCACCGTATTATGTAGTATACGTCCGTATTTACTACATCATTTTTTGCGCCGTCTATTTGGACCGGTACGTAACAAGCCATTCAGTTTGCTTTACTGATCTCCAACATTGTATCCATATCTTGACTTCTTTAACGAGCAAGAGGATGAGCACAGCAGCCCAAACCTCCGATCTCACCTTAATTCGCGCATGGATCTTAACCAGACCCCGGGGAGGGGAGCGCCTCCGCCCGATCCCATGAACGTGATCCAACAAGGACCGGTATTCCCAGTAGCTCTAGGCCAGATGCCCTACCAGTATACCCTGAATCCAACGGGAATTCTGGATCCTACATTTCAGTAGTGGCAAAATTTGCCACGATTTTATGCCCCATCGTATCCATTTCAGCCGGTCCCGCCCATATACCCACAGGCCGCAACCAATGTATATGTCGGGTCCAAGTATACTTGAAGCTGCACCAACTGGGGGGCTCAGGGCGTGACCATAGATATTATGGGGGTAGATGTTCAGCGAGTTATGATCAACACGGGAAGTAGTGTCAACGTGATGTAAAGAATACCCGACACAAGCGTGCTTGGCACAATCAAGGTCGAGCTCCCGGAGTCCATGCTCAAGAGTAAAGAATATCTGACACAAGCGGGGTAGGGCTCCCATTCAGTGGAACTCATTCCTTATGAGGAGCTTGTTCTTCCCTCGTTTCAGTCGGTAGGGGGCTGGGTCACCGGAGGTCGGCTTAGTGTAAGGGTGGGCCCTGGTCCGCGACCTCGTCAGGCAGAATGCCCAGGATGGTGGCAAGGTCATTGTCGTCGAGGGACTCAGCTAAGGCGTTCCGAACCTCTTGGTGCATAACCTGTTGACCGGTGGTAAAATCCCACTTCCCATAAGACCAGACGAGGTCCTCACCAACAACGGTCTTTAGGAACGACCGGAAAAAGAGCTCGACAACGGCTCGATCTTGGCAAAGATGGACTAAGAGGCGGTCTGGATCGACAATTTTCAACTTGGCCTCCTTCGCATCCTACTCAACGGCCACTAACCTCTCCTCGGCGGCCAGTAACTTCTCCTTCGCGGCCTCGAGCTTCCTCTCCAGGACCTTGATCCGGACGTCCTTGCGAGCTACAACCTTCTTTAGGGGCTCGACCTCTCTTTGGAGAATATATTTGGCCGCCTTGCCCGGTGGAAGAGGTCAGTTATTGTATGGGCCATTTGCAAAAACATCGGTTAGATGATCAGAATGAGAAAAAATAAAACAAAACAATGGCGTAGAAAGGGGAATCCAACCTGCATAATATCACTTGGGTCCGACCTGGAGGACCAGCCCATTTCTGTCGCTTGAGAGGATCTACCTCCTCAACCTCCGGCTTGGTAGCCTTTTCCTTCCCCTCTTGCTGTAGGCCCGGGTTATATGTAGGTTGGAACCCGAGCTTGCAGGCTGGGCGGTGGTCAAAGCCAAGGCTGACGAAATGGTTTGTCCAGTCGGGGCGGCTTCCGACGAGCTGCCCCCACCCAAGGCGACTTTAGCTTGGGGCTGTCGGGATGCGTAAGGGCCAGTGTTAAAGCCTTTGTCGAGACCATACCTGCAAACAAAAAAAATTCATGGTTAGTCAGTGATAGGGTTAGGGGAAAAGGGTCAAATAGGCCCCCGAACTTTAGCTTAAAAGTCAATTAGACCCCTAAACTTTTTAAAGGTGCAATTGCACCATCAACAATTCATTTAGGTGCAATGAAGCCCAAAAACAAGTTAATGACCTGCTATCACAGGTCATTAGGGTTCAGGCCACCTTCCCGCGAAATTTTCAGCAAAAAAAATGTGATCGGCGACCGACTGGCGAAATTTCCAGCAAAAAAAAGTGACCGACGAACGGTCGCCGCCGATCACTTTTTGCCGGAAATTTCGCCGGTCACTTTTTTTTTTTTGTCAGAAATTTCGCCGAAAGGTGGCCTGAACCCTAATGACCTGTGATAGGAGGTCATTAACTTGTTTTTGGATTTCATTGCACCTAAATGAATTGTTGATGGGTGTAATTGCACCTTTAAATAGTTTAGGGGCCTAATTGACTTTTAAGTTAAAGTTCGAGGGCCTATTTGACCCTTTTCCCATAGGGTTATTACCAGACCGTAGACCCGATGGTCGGTTACGAACCCTCTATCCTCAAGGATTATGACCCGCCTTGACCGGACCGTGTCCCTCAGTCTCCCGACCTTTCGTCTTACCCGGTCTCACTGGTAATCTAGCTTGCAGGTCGCGCATAGGCTGGGGAGGACCAACCTAATAAGGTCGGTCCGACCTAACGAACTTCTATGCGGTCTCGTCTCGTCTCGTCAGGAATATTGCGACATGTGTCTTGAACCCCTTCGGGCCTGGCCTGGACCTGTGCATGGGCACCATGTGCCATCCATACCGAGGGCCTGGGACTTATCCCCTCATCCCTCCTATAAATACCACATTTATTGCTGAGATGGGGGACTTTTCACCTACTTCACTACCAGTATTATACACCCGGAGACTCCCGACCCACTGGCTGAGGATCCCGAGCTCAAGTACTGAAACAAACAAGCAGACTAGGTACAGGATCCGAGACCGGAACCGATCTAGGACCGTATAGTATAGAGAGCATCCCTCCGTATATACCGTATCATTTGGCGCCGTTTGTGGGGATCGGTTACGCAAACCGATCGTTTTGCCTCTACCAATCTCCGGCAATTATGTATCCATACATGGATTTTCTTAATGATCAGGATGTCGAGGAGAGAACCTCCTATCTTCGGTCTCATCTCAATTCCGGCATGGATCTTAACAACACACCGGGGAGAGGGCCACCACCCGAGCCCGTTAATGTCATCCAGCAGGGACCTCCATTCCCATCGACAGTCGGTCAGATGTCATACCAATACTCGATGTACCCGACTGGGATCCCTGATCCCGCATTTCAATGGTGGCAGATCCCGCCAAGATTTTACGCTCTAGCTTATCCTTTCCAGCCAGTTCCAATAACCTATCTTCCACACGCTCGGCAATTTCGAAGCCAACGGGGAGCGGTTAGTGCAATACCGAGATTTGGCATTGAGAAAACTAGAATCTTTTCAAGCACATGTTGTGGAGAACGTCTCACGACTGGAGAATGCAGATGCTGATATTCTCTCAAGGCTCGCGCAAGAGGCGCCCGAGCATATTTCAAAGATCGCTTGTGTCCTAGAGATTCCGATTGCCAGCATAGATGTGCTGCCACTCGCCCCAGTGGGGGTGGAGGGAGAGAATTGGATCACAGATATCATGGGTTACTTGCAAGACGGTCGGTTGCCTGAAGATGAGATGAGAACACGGAAGGAAAAGCTTCGAGAACCCAAGTTCCAAATCGTTGAAGGACGTCTATACCGACGATCTTATGGTGGACCATTACTGAGATGCCTCAATGAGTTCGAAGCGGACATTGTGATGACTGAGCTCCATTTTGGAATCTGCTCGGCGCACTAGGGTGGGAGGTCGCTAGCTCGGCGAATAATATTGATCAGATATTACTGACCCTCTATACAATTAGATTGCGAGAAGCTTGCCAAGAAATGCGAAGTGTGCCAAATCTTCGCAAAGACACCCTGGAGACCATCAACATTCTACTAACCGGTGAGCATGGCTATCCCTTTCGCTCGTTGGGGTATGGATATTATAGGGTCGTTCCCGTAGTTGTCCGGGCGTCGTAAGTTCATAATCATAACCATTGATTACTTTCCAAAGTGGGTTGAAGCTGAACCTCTGGCCATTTTCACTTCCTAGCAATGTGCTCGGTTCTTGTGGCGAAACGTAGTATCCCAATTTGGCGTCCACGTGCAGTGGTAACTGATAATGGAAAGCAATTTGAAGGGCAATATTTTCAAAAGATTTTAGCCACGGTGGGAACCAAGTCGATCCGGGCATCGGTGGCGTACCCGCAAGGTAACGACAAGGTCGAGAACGCCAACCGAGTTATCCTAGATGGCCTTAAGAAAAATTTGCATTCAACTGGTCGCAACTAGGTTGAAGAATTGCTGTACATTCTGTGGACGTACCAGACAACACCTCGAGAGGCTACCAAAGATACCACTTTCACCTTGGTCATGGGGCGGAAGCAAGACTCCTGATCGAGGCCTGTATCCCGACTTCCTGAGAGAAGGCATACGACCTAGAAGAAAATGACCACCTAATGGAAATAGACCTTGACTATGCCAAAGAGAGAAGAGAACTGGCAGCTCGAATGATCGCTAAGTACCAGAAAAGGGTAAAGACAAACTACGACACTCGGGTCCAACCAAAATACTTCCAGGTCAGCGATTATGTTCTAAGGAAGAGAGAATCTAGTCGACCACAAGAAGGTGGCATGCTTGCCCAAAGTTGGGAAGGCCCCTATGTCATTTCAGCCGTAATTTGTCCCGAGGCCTACAAACTAGAGAATACCACGGGAAGACCGGTGGATCGGACTTGGAATTCCGAGAACCTGGTATTATTCTATCATTAGGACCTCCATGTTAGCACGTATGGACTTGTAATCGACGACTGGAATTAGATGTTAGCAATATGTACCCGGTTGGCGAGTTTGTAACTTGATTTGTATAATTCATGATGTCTGTTTGGCTGTAATATATATAGTGTGCCGTTGCATTTTCGTGAACGAACTTGTGGGCGTTTTGGTCTGCTGGCTGAAGTAAGAAGAGCATGAAGAAGGTCGAAATAAATGTGGTTTCCAAACTAGTGAGGCAAAGTTATCCTCGTTCTCGACCAGAAGGTCGAAATAAATGTGGTCACCAGACTGGCGAGGAAAAGTTATCCTCGTTTACGACTAGAATGTCAAAATAAATGTGGTCTCCGGACCGGTGAGGCAAAGTTATCATCGTTTATGACCAGAAGGTCGAAATAAATGTGGTCTACGGACCGACGAGGCAAAGTTATCCTCGTTTATGACCAAAATGTCAAAATGAATGTGATCTCCAGACCGGTGAGGTAAAGTTATCCTCGTTCCCGACTAGAAGGTCAAAATAAATATGGTCTACGGACCGACAGGATCAGAAAATGAAAAGTCTCCGAATTTCTACGATCAGAAGATCAAAAGACAAAGGTCTTCGGACCCCAACCCTGTCAGATCGCATCACCACCACTGGCATTATGAAGCCTGGTTAGGTCGGTATTTATTCCCCCGGCACTTTAAGTCGGGATCAGATCTCGCGAAAAGCCATACGACGTAGGCAATAGAGCCCGCTAGGTCGGTCTTCCCACCCCGGGCAGTTCCAATCTCTTGGTTGGTAGATTTTATCGTCAGATCATGCAAAGAATCCAATTAATTGATCGATAAAATTCTACTGCCTTGTGCTGATGATTCTCGCAACACATGGAGTGGGGGGTTACCCTGGTAGGGTTGTAAGGCCGAGGCTAAAAGCACTTCCTGATTGGAGTGCAAGTCGCGAGTATAATGTCCATCCCGAATCTCTAAGCGTTCCCCCACTTGGAACTCTCATTTCGCAAGCTAAGCGTAAAAGGGGAAAACAACCTATTCAAATGATTTCGGTTTCCAAAACCATCATGATGTTTAATGTGGATAATCGGAACTAACCAAACGCGATCGGCTAAGAACGACTTTACAGTGGTCCGAAAATCGAATTTATTTATGCAAGCTCTTAAGCATTGATCCTTAAAATCGCCAACTCGAAAAAGTCAGGATAAGGACAATGGTCTAAGGACCGAGCATCAACGCTTAAAACGTAAAACTTATAATCAGTATCATAAAGCGATTACGCAAATTCAACCGAGAATTAAATTAAAAAAAATTCAAATGCCCAACACAGGGAGACCGGGCTCCCCAAATTGTCCAAAAAAGCAAAGTTACCCGACACAACTTGGCTCGGGCTCCCAATCTGGCAACCTTCACTCCTTTGGTGAGGCTTGCTCCCGTTTCGTCTTGACCGAAGGGGGCATTGCCTCATTGGCGGTTGATCCCGTGTAGGGAGCGGGGCCGGGGTCAACGATTTCTTCAGGTTACCTAAGATGGTACTAAGATCGTCACCCTCGAAGGCCTCCGCCAGAATCGATTGGACCTCATGTTGCATGTGTAGTCGGCCAGTAGTAAAGGCCCAAACGAGGTATTCACCAGCCTTATTCTTCAAAAAATCTCAGAAAAAGGCTTCCGTCACCGCCTAATCTCGGCAAAGGTGAGCAATTAAGCGATCCAGGTCGTCGATCCGGAGTCGGGCCTCCTCCCGAGTCGCATTCGCTTCCTTCTGCGCGACCACCAATCCTTTGGTTGCTGACTTAAGCCAAAGCTTAAGGTCCTTGACTTCGGCCTCGTGAAGAGAAATGGCCTTCTTCAAGGACTAGATCTCCTCTGCGGCCTTAGCTCGATGATGGAGAGCGGTAAAAATGCGAGTGAGTTGCTTGAAAAACGCGAGCGAAGAAAAGTTAGGAAATCAAAAGGCAAAATGCATACCTGCACCAGGTCTTGGGCGCCCCGTTCAACGATCTGATCAGTCGTCCAGTCATGCATGTCTTCGCCCCGGGGGATGAGGTCGCTCAACCTCCCTAAATGCCCCCCCCCCCCCCCGCTCAGCAGGGCATCGATGACAGGGGTCTGGGCTGGAGGGCTGCGGTGCTGGGTACGTTTCAGAGGAGCCACCTCCTCAACATCCAAGTTAGTGGCCTTGGTGAGCTGTCGTAGGCTCCCAAATTAAAACCTTACAAACGTAGTAGCGGGAGTAAGGATCGATCCCACGAGGAGTAACTAGTTTAACTTTTGTGCTCAAGGAAATAATGGGGGGTTTGGAAAATAACGAGAATAAAGATTAAGTAAAAGATAATTTAAATAAACAAGAGATTATATTAAATAAATCAAATAAAGCAATGAAACTAATATATTGAAAGCACTTATAATAGAAAACCTTGGTTAGTAAAGATCCACCACCGGAATTTAACACTGATCATTGATTAGTAAAGTAATTAATATGCAATTGAATATTTGTCGTGAAATTATTTCATTTCCGTTTTCCCTTAGTTATAGGTAACTAAAGCACACGCGGTTTAATTACCCCTAACTACTAAATAACCTAGGACAAGCGTTATAGATTTAATTTAATAGCAGCAATAGGAACTAGGAAAACCGACAAACTAAATAACACAAGCACAAGCGGTTGCATTTAACTTAGGAAAATATTCTACCCGAGTCCAATTATCACTAAGCCGTCAATAATTAACCCAGTTGCTACTGAATATTAGAATAATTTGTAGCACAACATTATCTAATATAGCAAATAATTATATCAAGTAAATAACTAGTAGGCCTCCCTAGCAATTAAATGATACAACTATTCAAATAACTTAGAAGAATATTTAATACCCAAATGCATAAAAATTATATAATAAAAATAAATAAATAATCTTACAACATAATCAATTTCGGGGCTTCAATTCACTAAACCAAGCTAAAGAAATTAACAATGAATGAACATTGATAACATATTTACAGAATAATCGAGAGGGGAAGAATGAACATCTTTCAATACTACTCTAACATCTATTTATAGTATTCTAAAAATAGGATTAATCTATTATTTGCCCTTCATTCCCTATTTTTGCGCCAATCCATTAAACCATTCGCCAGCTGCACACCTCTCCAAAATTTGCGCTGAAGATGAAGTCTCCGCATATACATACTGTACGTAGGAATTAGAAAGAAACAAATGTCAATATAATGTTTCATGTTTTATTTGTTTTTGTCTTTTTCTAAGATTAGGGGCGGTGGGTATCATGTTATAGGATTATTATTATTATTATTATTATTAGGGAGGAAAAGGATAATTATTATTATAAACACTAATTAATTAATTAAACTTTAAAAATAAATAATTATTATATAATAGTAATTAATTAATGTAAAAATATTATAAAGATGTACGTAAAATATGGGTGTAAAATATGCCTATCAGGCCTTTTCCTTGCCCCTCTTACTTTGGACTCGAACGACCAGCAACTCTTAGCCTGAGTTGGCAGGCTGCGTCATGGTGGTGGTGGCCAAGGGTAGGGCTGTGCAGAAACCGAAGAATCCGACCCACCCGCCCGACCCGAAACCCGACGGACCAATCCGTGGAGCGAACCGTATCCGAAACCCTTACCCGATCCGATGCAACGCTAGAAGACGGACTGAAGGGGTTCGGGTGGGAGGCATTAAACGCCACCCGAACCCGTCCGACTACCCGATGAAAGCCTAGGGTCTTTTACGCTACATAAGACGATGTCGTTTGGTGTATGTATATATATCACTCATTTCCAGCAAGCGCAGCCGTGCTCTCACTCTTGACTCTTCTAGACTTCTCTCATCTCTCATCTCTCCAGTCTCCACTCTCGTTCTCTCTTTCGCTCTGGTCTTTGAGAGTTTGAGACTTTGAGTCTTAGACTCTTAGTGTCTTACTCTCTAAGACTCTGAGAGTCTTAGTCTCTGTTTGTTAGTCTGGTGGAAGCCCTCTTCGGAGCATCGGAGTAGCGAGTGGCGGAGTGTTGGAACGGTGGAAGCCCTAGACCCTAGTCCGGTCACCGGAGTCTGGTGGAACGGTGGAACTGTGGAACGGTGGAATAGTTGATTCGAAGCCCTTTGTTCTCGAGGGATTAAATCTGAGAAACGAAGTAATTACTAAACCCTATTTACATTTCCGTTATAGATTATTGTGTATTTGTCTTCTTGATTAGGGTTTCTAATTTTTATGATTATGTGGACTGTGATACTTGTAAATCCGTTGAGAAGTTCCGTATTGCATGTCACTAGTCCTTTGAGTTTGAATTTGTGAATTGTTTGATTAGGGTTTCTAATTTGTAACCTAATCTCAGTAATCTGTGGACTCACTGTACTTGTAAATCCGTTGAGAAGTTCCGGATTGCATGTCAGTAGTTCTTTGAGTGTGAATTTGTTAATTGTTTGATTAGGGTTTTTAATTTGTAACCTAATCTCAGTAATCTGTGGACTCACTGTACTTGTAAATCCGTTGAGAAGTTCCGGATTGCATGTCAGTAGTTCTTTGAGTGTGAATTTGTTAATTGTTTGATTAGGGTTTCTAATTTGTAACCTAATCTGTGGTGGAAGCCATACTACCCTAGCCCCTTGCCATTGTGTGTTAAATACTGAAATCCATATAAATGTTAAGCATGATGGTATTTCTGTCAATTCTGTGGAAGCCATATAAATGTGGGAGTGTGTCTCACTGTCTTGTACTCATGTGTGAGTGTGTGACTGAAATCCATATAAATGTTAAGCATGATGGTATTTCTGTGGAAGCCATATAAATGTGGGAGTGTGTCTCACTGTCTTGTACTCATGTGTGAGTGTGTGACTGAAATCCATATAAATGTTAAGCATGATGGTATTTTGGTGGAAGCCATATAAATGTGGGAGTGTGTGACTGAAATCCATATAAATGATGAGCATATAAAGTAGCATACACCTACTTAGCTTGAATGCCTGATTATGGATTTCATTGTAAATTGTAAATTGTAATTTGTAAGTTGTTAGTTACTTACTTGTAAATACTTGTAACTGTTGTAAGTTGTAACTGTGAAATTGTAAGTTTATGGATATGTGACCCTTAAATCATTTATGTGCAATTCTGCATACATGATGAAATGTAAAATTCACTGAATTCTGCCTGTTTAAGTGTTTAACACTTTAATTGATACATGTGTGTATGTGCCAATTGACAAAGCCCATTCTCTGTTGATGATTTTGAATGAGTGATTTCCCATTCTGTGTCACTGATACTTTCCCCTTTTTAGATGGAAAGTGTTAGTGGTGGGACTGGTGTTACTGGTGTATCTGGAACCCAACCTGAGTTGGAAGCACCTGCTGTAGAGACTGTTACTCCTCAGTCTCAGCAGCCTTTGCCTCCACCTGTTCCAAAGAAAAGGAAAGAGGTTGAATCCAGGGCTCCATGTTGGGATCACTTTGAAAAGATCAAAGACAGTGAGGGCATTGTCATCAAAGGAAAGTGTATATATTGTGCAAAAGTGTATTGCTGTGAGAGCAAGAAACATGGGACTTCATCTCTAAGACTTCATGTGGTAAACTGCCTTAAAAATCCTCACTCTAAGGAGACAAGGCAGTCCCTACTCACATTCCAACCTGCACCTTCTTCTGTTGGAACTCAAAGTAGTGAAGGAACTGAAGGGGTGTTGGGTACTTGGGTGTTTGATCAGGACTTGATAAGGAGAGCCTTAGCTGAGATGATTATTTTAGATGAACTTCCTTTTAGAATTGTTGAGGGACAGGGTTTTAGAAAGTTTGTTTTAGTTTGCTGTCCTAGGTTTAAAATCCCTTCAAGATGGACTATCAGTAGGGACATTTTCAAGATATTTTCTGATGAGAGGGTCAACTTGAAGAAGTTTTTTAGGACTAGCAGTCAGAGGGTAAGTATCACAACTGATACTTGGACCTCAGTCCAGAGAATAAACTACATGTGCATAACTGCACATTTCATTGATAGTGAGTGGAAGCTGCAAAAGAAGATTATTTCATTTGTTCCTATATATTCCCACAAGGGGGAAAGTATTGCAAAGGCTTTAGAGAGTTGCCTTTTGGACTGGGGTCTAAAATCAGTGTTTAGTGTGACAGTTGATAATGCTTCCAGCAATGATACTGCCCTAGGTTTCTTGAAGAAGAAGTTGGGTTCTTGGGGTTGTACTTTTGTTAGGTGTAAGTATTTGCACATGAGGTGCATTGCTCACATTCTTAACTTGGTGGTACAGGATGGGTTGAAAGAATGTGACAGTTCAGTTAAGAAAGTCAGGGATGCTGTTAGGTATGTGAGGAGCTCACCTGCTAGGTTGCAGAAGTTTAAATCACTAGCTGATCTAATTGGGGTGGAAGCAAAAAATTCTCTGTGTCTAGATGTCCCTACAAGGTGGAATTCCACATATATGATGCTTAATACTGCATTACTGTTTCAGAAGGTATTTGAAGCCTATGATGATCATGACAGTTCATTTAAATCTGATTTGGGTGGAAGTGTACCTGATTTCTTAGATTGGGAATCCATTCAATCTTTGGTTATGATTCTGAAATCTTTTTATGAAATGACTGTTAGGATTTCTGGATCATTGTATGTGACTTCTAATACCTTCTTCTCTGAGATTTCTGATTTGTCTTGCTTGTTGAAAAATATGGAGGAAGCTACAGAAGATAGTGTTAAACTGATGGGTAAAAATATGAGGGCAAAATTTGATAAGTATTGGGGTGAGCCTGAAAAAATGAATTTTTTGATATTCTATGCAAATATCTTAGACCCCAGGGACAAAATTGAGTATATGCCCATTCAGTTTAACCAGTTATATGGTGAGGAAAAGGGTAAAACAATGTTTGATAAGGTGATTGTTGGCCTTAGGGAGTTGTTTGAAGATTATGTTGCATGCTTCCCTGTCCAGTCTGTTGAACAATCTGAAAGATTTTCTCCCTCAATAACAATATCTGATTCTGTTTCTGTTGGGAGACCTCAATCATTACTGAAATCTCATATTAAGAAGCAAAAATTGGTGAGTGGGGATTTGTCTAGGAAAAAAACTGAGTTGGAAGTGTATCTCTCTGAGGTTATTGTGGATGAGGATGATTCATTTGACCTTCTAAGATGGTGGAAGCAACAATCTGAAAGGTTCCCTGTCTTATCTAAAATGGCAAGGGATATTCTAGCTGTTCCAATATCAACTGTTGCTTCAGAATCAGCTTTCAGTACAAGTGGAAGGGTACTTGATGCCTTTAGGAGTTCCCTAACTCCTAGAATTGTTGAGGCATTGGTGTGTGCACAGGATTGGCTAAGGTTAAGCAACCAACCAATCTCAATTGAAGAAAATATTGAAGATGTTGAAAGGATAGAGAAAGGTATATACTTCTAACTGTTTACTCAAATGATCTGTTTACTTATTTACTTATTTGATTTGTGATTACTTATTTACAATTTACTTATTGAATTTCCATTTTGTTTTTGTACTGCAGAGTTGTGCTGCACATCCAGCACTGGAACTGGAATGCCTACAATTGTTGTATGTTTACTTATTTACTTATTTGATTTGTGATTACTTATTTACTTATTTGATTTCATGATAAATTTATGCCTCTATATGACTGTATCAATGTATCATGTATGTGTATCAATGATTCAAATCAATGTCCCAAGTGAGGCTGGGAAGTTGGAACTGGAAACTGGAAAGTGCTCATGGCTAGGTAACATTTTAAATGTTGCTGCCATTGAGCTCAGGTATCAGTATAAATAGTTAAATACTGTATAAATAGCTAAATCTTCTGAGTTCTGACTCACTATACTTATAAGTTATACACTTATACCTGTATAAATGTTCTTTATTGTGCTATGATGATGCTTCCACCAGGTTCTCTGAATATATAGAATTGGGTTTGGTATGTTGCCTATGAAGTGTGGTGTATGCCATACTCATTGAGTAGTGTTCCCCCAATCCTAAATTGATATGGAAAAAAAAATATCTGAGCACTCATTGAGTCTTTGCTATTTAAATATAATTCATTAGTTGTCTAAGCATAAGTATTATTCTGCTATGATGATGCTTCCACCATTTCTCTGAATATATAGAATTGGGTTTGGTATGTTGCCTTTGAAGTGTGGTGTTTATGCCATACTCATTGAGTAGTGTGCCCCCAATCCTAACTTGATATGGAAAAAAAGCTATCTGAGCACTCTTAGAGTCTTAGTCTTTTACAGTTTCAGTTTGTGTGATTGTGTCAATTCTAACTAACTACAAATGTTTTGAACTTATTGTTTTATGTGTTCACTTATCAGGAAGAAGAATAGACATAGAGTACTCTATATTATATTAATCATATATTCATATATTGCTTTTGGAGTTTTGGATATCTGGCTTTCTTTTGCTGATGTGCTGACTGCTGATTTGAGAGTGGAGACTGATGCAGTGCTGCTGTTGCAACTTGCCTGCTTGGAGTGCTTGCTATGAACAATTATAATTCTCTTTAATTTTGTAACTTCTAACTTTCTAAGTTGTAACTAATCTGTTGAATGTAGATTATATGTAAGCTAATTTGTATTTTGCTCATTATATGTTTACACTTTTATAAGTTTACTTATGTTATTTACTTAATTTTGTTGTTAAGTAGTTAGTAATTACTAGTTAGTGGCTTTTAGTACTTAAGTAGTTCATTAGTTAGGTACTTAGGTGTTCCATCATCCATGAATAATTGAATTTTTAAATTTTTTACATTCTCATAAAACCGATTTACAACTCGGATATCCGACCGATCCGAAAATAACTATAACCGATCGGATTGGTCAACAAAAAAAAACGGTTAGGGTGATCAAAAGACAAATCCGAAATCCGGCCGGGGGTCTCATTCCGAAATCCGAACCGTCCGATCCGTCCGACTGCACAGCCCTAGCCAAGGGAACAACGGTCGGTATGGTGGGTTCAGTCAGGGCAGGTACATGTACAGATGAACTCGCCTTTTTCTCCCCCAAAGTAGACGTAAGGCGGGGGGCTCAAGGTGCCGAGGTAGCGATGACGAAACCCTTGTCAAGACCCATATCTGCAAAGCAAGCAATAGTGTTAGCATAACTCGTTAGTATTCGGTCGAAACCCGACCTTGAAAACTTAAAGAAAATTAAATGGAAATCGTAAGGCTTCAGACCTTCAACAATAGGTCCGAGTACCGGGGGCGGAACCACAATGGTAACGTTTAGAGGTTTGGGTAGATACTTCCGCTCGAGATCGTATCGAGGAGTTCGAAACCGAGGCTCGGCGTATTTCTCGAGAGTTTGGAAGATACGATATTCATAAAGCTCTTAAGAGATCTTCGTCGCGGCATTACGGAGTGCACGGGTTTTGTCCTGAAATTTATGCTCAGTAAAGTGGGTTGACCACACCCAAGTGACCGGCATGTGCCATGTATATTTGATCGACAAGATCTGGTTCTTCCACCCCTTAGTGTTATTGGGAAGGTGGAGGATGCTACAATGGTGGCCTCAAGACAGCGCCATTAGAAACCTTCCCCGGTGTTTGGATGGTAAAGACCGGACAGAATAAAGTTAGTTAAAAAGCTCCACGGTGCACGGGAAGTCGTGCCGAGCGCAGATCTGAGGAAAACAAGCTATGATGCGATGGGCGTTAGTGTTGATCTAACCGTGGAGAACCCCGTAATAACTGAGGAAAGTAAGAAGGAAAGGAGAAAAAGAAAAAGTCAATGAGGCTTTTAAGGAATCAAGGTGGATCCCAAGTCAATCACCTTTGGTCCATGCCTTGATGTTCCCTAAGGATCGGTGGGTGATAAAACGGACCCGACCGGTTAGGAGAGAAGAGACTTCCTCCATTTCGGCTAGGGTAAGGAAACAAGGATACCGCTCCAAGACCTCGCTATTTAAAAAGACCTTGTCCTTCCCCAGGCCCGAAGCCTTAGAAGCGGAGGAAGAAGGCTTGCCTGGAAGGGTCGCAGCAAGTTTGGAAACAGAAGCAAGTGAAAGACAGGGGTTGAGTGCAGCGATCATGGTCCAAGGTGATTTCCCTCGCCCGTAGGGCCCGGCCTCGCCGATCTCAGTCGGTGGGGTGGCAGAATGCTCGACGTCAGCCCTGTCTCCGGATGCCCGACCGATTCCGCTGGGGATGCACTGACCTCTCACGTCGCAGAATCATATGTGGAGACAGTGAATGAGCCGACCTCGACCCCGTTATCATATTCCTGTACCGAGAGGTTTTGACTGTCCGAGCTCGACATGTCTTATCCTTAAAGAGTACGAGAACCTGGGTTAAGATCTCGAGCAAAGTGTCGTTGGGCATCGAAAGCATGTTAAAATCGGTCAGTAAAATAAGTAGGAAACGAGGACTTATCGGTTACAAAAAAGCCTTAAGAGCAGGAAAAGAGAATGCTTTAGCTTCAGACAATTGCTTCGTGTAAGGGGAAATGCTTGGGAACGTCCGGCCTCAGGGTAGCGATAGAAAACGCAAAATGGGACCCCCAAGAGTGCCCTATTTATAGAGAGCAAATGGCAGGAAAAAACGCTTCAAATTCTGAAACTGCGCCTGAATCCCGAGGCAAGCAGGCGCTCGACACGTGCGCAGCCAGGCCGCCTAACGGCGATCCGCGTTCACGACCGTGCACTTGCACCGCACCAGATTCGCGGCGAAAGGCCGGTGATATCAAGAATAGTCCGAACCCTTCCTCCCGGACCGTCGTCAGGCTCTAGGCTAAGGGGGCAACTTGATAGGGTTATTACCAGACCGTAGACCCGATGGTCAGTTACGAACCTTCTATCCTTAAGGATTATGACTCGACCATGTCCCTCGATCTCCCGACCTTTCGTCTTACCTGGTCTCGCAGGTAATCAAGCTTGCAGGTTGCCCATAGGCTGGGGAGGACCGACCTAATAAGGTAGGTGCGAGCTAACAAACTTCTATCCGGTTTCGTCTCATCAGGAATATTGCGACATATGCCTAGAACCCCTTCGGCCCCGGCCTGGACTTGTGCATGGGCACCACGTGCCTTCCGTGCCTAGAGCATGGGACTTGTTCCGTCATCCCTCATATAAATAGCGCATTTATTGCTGAGCTAGATTTTTCACCTACTTCACTACCAGTACTATACGCCCGAAGACTCCCGACCCACTGTCTGAGGATCCCGAGCTCAAGTACTGAAACCAACAAGCCGACTAGGTACAGGATCAAAGACAGAAACCGACCTAGGACCGTATAGTATACAGACTATCCCTCCGTATATACCGTATCAGTTAGTATGTCTGATCAAAACACCTTTGGTTGTGTTTAAAACCTCGTAATAATAAAAATTGTAAACCTTCAACACTCGATCCGGCAGTATGGGGACCGCAATAGTGACCACCTTCGGCTTGGGAGTGTACTTCGTTTCCAGATCATATGAGATCATCGGGCGAAAAATGCGGTAATCATAAAATTCGGAGGAGATTTTCGTTGCCGTTGTAATTAAAGCCCGAGTGTTGGTCTGGTACGTGTGCTTACGGAAGTGAGAGGCCCAAACCCGAGGAACCGGTAGACACCACTTGTACTCGACCGAGACGATTTGGTTCTTCTACCCCTTGTTGTCTGGTTGGTGGGTTATGCTATAGTGGTGGCCCCGGGATTGAACAACGATGAATCCCCCCCCCCCCCCCCCCCCGTGCTTGGGTAGAAGTCCTCGGACAGAGAAAAAAGGCGAAAAAGGTCCATGAACACAGGAGTTTGTGCCGAGCACAAATCTAAGGGAAGCAGACCAGAATGCGGTGCGCATTCGAGCCGATTTGACTGAGGAAACCCCCATAGTAGGAGAGGAAGGAAATAAGGAAATGAGAGAACGGGAACGTTAGCGGGGCCTTAAGGGAGTCAAGGTGCATCATAAGCCAATCACCCTTTTAGCGCATGGTAACGTCGCCCAAAGACCGGCACATATCAAAGCGAACCCGGCCGGTCAAGAGGGAAGAAGCCTCTTCAACCTCAGCTCGAGTAATTAGGCAAGGATGCTCATCATCGAGAGTGCTCATCATTGAGAGGAACAACCGAAAGGGTCGTGGTGGCACGAGAATGTGAAGAGAAAGACAAATGAGGAAAGAAGGCGGAGAAAACATCTCGGGGCGACTTCCCTTGACTAGAGGGCCCGACTTCCTCATCAGCTGAGAGCAGAGTAGTTGGTCGTTGATCGATCTGGTCGTCAGCGACCCTAGACGATTCCGCATGATCTCCCGAGAACCCCTCGATCTCCCAAATGGTCGAATCGTCCGAGGAGACTATGAAGGAGCCGATCTCGACAGCACCATCGTAATCTCGGCCCGAGATGTTCTGGCTTTCAGAGTCCGAGATGCCTTCTCCTTAAATTTAAGGGAAGACGCTTTAGTGTAAAAGCCTGGGACAAGGCTACATGTAAGGCGCTTTTAAAACGGAAAAAGCTTTAACTAACAAAGAATAAAATGAAAGCTCGGGAAGAGTACTTACCGATTATGATTGCAGTTGGTGCGAAAGAGTACAACTTGCGGTTAGGTTCTTAGTGGAGTAGCTCAAAAAGCTCCGATCTAAAATAAGTAGAAGAAGACGTAATTGGGACCCCCTAAAACGCCCTATTTATAAAGGGTGGTTGGAGGGAAAAACGTTTTTAATTTTAAAATTTGGCACGAATCCCAAAACAACTGGATGATGGCCGACACGTGTCCATCTGACCATACAGACGGTGATCTGTGCTCCATCCGTGCACCCACGCTGCACCTGATCAACGTTGAAGTATAGACCTCGCACGAGTTGTAGCCCGAACCCTTCATCAGCGAACCGACATCAGGCTCCAGGCTAGGGGGCTACTTGGTTGGGGATTATTCCCTATCGACAGTATGTATATGGTGGTCGGTAACGGACCCACTATATGAATAAAGCTCGGTCTTATCTAAACCGACCAGATACGCTCACTTTTTTTACCATCTCTCCTACCGAGCTCAACTATCGGCAACCATATGGAGGTGCTATAATAATTGTCGTGTCCCGACCTAATCAAGTCGGGACCGACCTACCGACCTGAATCCCGTAGCAGAATGCAATAGCAATGCACCCAATAACTTCAGGAACATTAGGAGACGTGGTCAAGCCACCTTGGGCCCCGGTCTGAGCCTGTGCATGGGTTCCATGTGTCGTACATGCCGTGAGACCAGAGCATGTTTCATTTTTCTCGTTATAAATACCGCATTAATTGCTGGAGGGAGAGACTTTTGGCTATTTCTACACGCTAACTGTTGGCTGGGGAACCTCTAACCCACTATCAAGTATTCCGAGCTTCATAACTTAATCCAACAAGCATACTAAGTAAGGGGACTGTAGCCGGAACCGACCCTAGCACCGTATTACGTAGTATACGTATGTATTTAGTACATCATAGGTAAACTAACCTAGGTTACTCATAGCTAACCGAATCAAACTAAAAAGACCAATATGTTGCTCCCATTAAGAGTCGAACTTAAAATCTTGTGGTTAAGAAGCCAATGATCTGACCAATTTAGTTGGATTGTCCCAACTACGTTTCCCAATTTGAGGATCATGATTGAGGTCAAGGATCTGAACCTAGGCAGAGGTCGAGGTCAAGGATTGAGTGCTAGCTCGTTATGAAATTTTGGATGGACCAAGGACCGTTCTAGGCCACACCCAAAATATTCCTCCAAGATCCTAGGGTTCACCTTACAGGCTTACAATTATACTAAGGTCATGTTTGTTAACATAGTTAGCTTATTTGCTAATTTTTACTTATTTGACCACTATTAACTGTTTGACATGGTTAAACATGCAATATAAGTGTCTGATTAATTAGTTTTGTAACAGTTTATTGCTCAAAGTAGCTTTTTCGATCAGCTTTTTTAGAAAGTCGTTTTGCATTTAATCGGCTATCAGCTAACAGCTAATTTATCAAACATATTTCTACAATCAGCTAATGCTATTAAAGGTGATTATACCCTGGGTATACGGGCGACCTACGGCCGGGCAGTACCATGTCGCTTAAGCCTAGACGTCCCGATCAGCCTCATCCTGGGATCCTGCCCGGTCGCCCAATCAACTAGTTTGCGCCCGCTTGTTTCAGTTTCCTATCAGGACAAGACCGTTAACCGGGATGAGTGATCTAGAGGTACACGACTCGCCTCAACCGGATTGTGGGCCCAACCACCATCAGTAGCCGCGGCCCACGTGTTCAGCTGCATGCTTGCCTCAGCGGGACCCTGTGCATGGGCGCCACGTGCCCGTCATGCCGGAAGACCGAGCACTGCTCTATAAGCTCTCTATAAATATAGCGTTTATTACCATGAGGGTAGGCATAAGCCCGGGTCTGTCCCGACACGGTCGGTAGGTCATCAAGCCCTACGACGGTAGGTATAAGCCCGGGTCTGTCCCGACACGGTCGGTAGGCCATCAAGCCCTACGATAGTAGGCATAAGTTCGGGTCCGTCCCAGCACGGTCGAAAGGCCATCAAGCCCTACGAGGGTAGACATAAGCCCGGGTCCGTCCCGACACGGTTGGTAGACCATCAAGCCCTACGAGGGTAGGCTTAAGCCCAAATCCGTCCCGGTCTAGCATGGTTGGTAGCACCACCAGAAGAATTCACCGCTAAGCTCACCTTGAGCCCGGGTCCGTCCCAGTCTAGCAAGGTTGGTAGTACACTATGAATAAACCGACCGGTAGCGTGGATAAAAGCCCGACAAACTCGACGAAAGCAAAACTGGTCGTAAGCCTGGGCTCATCTCGGTCTAGCAATGTTGGTAGTACACTATGGATAAAGTGAAAGTTAGCGTGGAATAACCCGTGGATAAAAACTCGACAAATGCGACATCGACTTGTAAGACTAACGAAAAAGAAAGTGAGGAATGTGATTAATTATAATTTGCCCGGCACATGGGGGTCGGGCTCCCCAAGTCAAAAGGCGCTTGGCGCAAACAGCACGACACAAATTCGGGGTCGGGCTCCCGTTCATTCAACCTACTCTTGGGGAGGCGCTTGCGAGTGAGATTCGCCGGGAAGAGGTTGCTCGGTGGCCGACGAGGTTGCAAACGGCTCGGGACCGGGATCAGGTACTTCATCGGGAAGGATGCCAAGAACAGACGCTAAGTCGTCGTCGTCGAGCGAGGCAGCCAGAGCACCCCGGTCCTCCTGTTGCCCCCGACGTTGACCGGCGTTGAAAGCCCACTTGGCTAAGGTCCAGGCTAGTTCCTCACCAACCGAGTTCTTCAAAAAGTGGCGAAAGAAGTCCTCAGCCTCTGCCCGGTCACTGCAGACCCGGGCCGCGAGCTCCCGGGGGCTCCCGAGCAAACGTTGGGTCTCCTTCGCCTGGGCCTCTACCTTGACCATCCTGTCGGTGGTGGACTTGACCCTGTGTCGCAGCTCCTTGGCGTCCATCTCGTGGCGCTCAGCGGCCTTTCGCAATGCTTCACCATCCTCCGTGGCCTTTGCTCGGCGGAACAGGGCCGTCAGAGTGTGAGTCAGCTATCCCCGAGTGAGCAAAGCGTTAGTGTAAAACGGACGAAACATGGGACGAAAAGTAAGGTGAAGAGCATTAAGAGTATACCTGCACGACGTCATGGGCGCCCCGCTCCCTAATCTGGTCGAGCGACAAGCCCTTCGCACCGTCATCGACCGGGATCAGCTCATTCAGCCGGCTAAGATTGGTCGCGGGATGTTCCCCGCTCAGCAGGACATCGATGACGGGTGTCTGGGTCGGGGAGTCTGACCCTCTGGCCCGTTTCAGTGGGGGGACCTCCTCAACATCTGCATTCGGAGCGTTTTCCTTCCCCCGCTTGGTCTTAACGCGAATGACCTGCAGGTCCTGGTCGAAAGAGGCCGACTGAGCTGAAGTGATGTCTAGGGGCACACCGGAAGGGATGGTCGGGTCAGCAAGCACTTGACCGGCAGGGCCTGATTTCTTTCCCCCGAGGGTAATCTTGGGTCGGGGCCCGCTGGAAGACGCTGGAGCGGCCATGAAGCCCTTGTTGAAGCCCATATCTGGAAAATAAAAATGCAAAGTTAGTACGATAAACCACTATCTTCGGGTGTGCGGTGTAACACCCCCGTGTTACGCCCTTTAAATTCGGATTAGTTATTTAATTCATTCCGTTAAAAATTAGTTAAAAAGAATTTAATTCAATCAGAATCCCCTAAATTAATTGATATGGTCCACGGAGGATCATGGACCCTTACCCTTAATGAAACCCCAAGCCCGTTAGATTAAGGAGAGAAGGCCCATCATTAATTAGACCCTGATTAGGATTCCTAAATCTATATAAAAGGAATTAGAAAGCTTTAGAACCCTTTCCCTCTCCATCACTCGAAATTCCTTTTCACAACCCAGACAAAGAATCCCTGTCACCAAGCCTATGAAAGATTGATAGAAAGAGGACCCTGAGGAAAGATCCTAGAAGTTCTGAGAAGTTTAATTGAAACTACCAGGTAACCCATGTCTTACAAAACCTATTTTCCTTGTTATCTTTTATTGATTGGCTCCTTTGAATGATTGTATGCGTGAATTTGTGGTTATGCTTTGATAGAGCTTGTAGTTAGGATTCATGATATGGGTTCTTGTTATTCTTCATAATCTTGATGACCTTGTGTGGTGATTTTCATGTTCTTGTATTTAATTATGTTAGAACTGGTCCTTAGGGTTTATATTGCGAATCATGTCGTTCTTGGTGTTTTTGGCATTCTTGGGTGGGTTTATGCATGTTCGGGCGTTATTCAAGGTTTAGGGCTTGTCTTTAGGGTTTTATATGTTGGTTTCTTAATGTTCTTGAGGTTCTTGATGCTCTTGAACCATTATGTGTTTATCCTTGATTCTTGGCATGTTTAGAGTTTGCGTTTAGGGTTCAATCGTGTTGTTTCTTGGCATATTCTATGTGTTCGAGTCCCTATTTGGGTAAACTGGGTGAATTCCCGGGTTTGAAAAAATGCCAAGGTAGGGCATTTCAGCGAGTAGTCGGTGTTGGGACGAACCCCCACCTGACCACCCGCCGGAACGGGGGTGGTGTTACAGCGGGAGGACGGGCGGGTGGACGGCCACCTGCCGGTCCACCCGCTAGAACCGAGAGGTCTCGCCGGCAGGTGGTGGTCCACATGCCGCACCACCCGCTGGTACGAGCCAGCGCAGGGTCGTTCGGTCTCCGTCGGGCCGAACCCCGTGCCTCGAGGTGGATTTTTTGATTTTTTTGGGTCTAGTATGATGTCTTAAGTTTCGTAACGTGAATTGTGAGTCGTGTCCTTGCATGTGGCCCATACTCGTATTGTGTGGTGCCAGAGTATGGTCTATAGTGATCTTTATGAGTCTTGTGGTCGCCTTGAGGGCGCTTGTTGTTGAGAGTCAATATGCGTGATGTGCTCTTCCCCGATTATCCCCTTATGGAGTCATTGTCGAGTCTTGCTTGTGTGTTGTTGTCCATGATGAAAAGAAAAGATATGAGATTGGTGAAAAAGATATGATTGGTGGTTGATGCACTGCGCGTGCTTATGTGATAGTACTGCAGTACCGGTGTGTGATTTAAAGGCATCGTGGATGCTATGAGTTCGGCGGTTATGTAGGAGGTCATGTAGGCGGGGGGCATGCGGTGCCCCGGAGGGATAAGGATGTGGTGTGAAGGGTGGCCTGGAGGTACAAGTTGAAACTGTTATAAGGTTGGAGAGGCGTAAAGGTTGGAACTTGGTATAAGGTTGGAACATGGACATGTCTTGTTATGTGCTCTTGTTTGTTATTGTTGAGTCTTATTGTTGTCTTGCCTAGTGGTCATAGCTTGCATGCTAGTGTCTTTATGTGTTTGGTCGTGTCGATTCTGTTGGTGTGTCTCGAGTCTTATTCCTGGTTATGAAGCTCGAGTCGTTTAGGACTATATTATGTATTCTCAAGTCTTAAAATGGTTTTCTTATATCTATATGTATTATACTCAACGCGTGGGAGTGGTTTGTTTAGCATTATTCGCTAACGGTTGTTATACCGCATGTTTTTCAAGTACTGATTAGTTGACCGAGAGCGCGCTAGAAGGAGCTGTGGTTCCTAGCTTAGTTAGTACTTGCTTAGTTAGACGGCATGTGAGTCATGATTGTATTCGGATAATGATACAGATTATGCCTTGTTTAGTTAGTTTTAGCCTATGCATTTAGGTTCTCTAGCTTAGATGTGGCATAGCACCCCAATACGTATGTCTAGCTTCCGCTCTGTTTTGGGTATTAATGATAGCTTTACCTTTATTTCATAAGCTTTAGTGGTTTTTAATTATGCTAAAAATTGGGGGGTGTTATATGCGTGCTAAGTGTTCTTAAGAGACCTCCGGTTGTAGGCTGTGCTGCGGGAGGAGTGATGGCAACCGTGACGGCAATCCGTCTGGGCTTATACTTCTCCGGTAGATCATATCTGGGGGGCTCAAGTCGGGCGGCTCGTTACGCCTCAGGTGTCCGGCAGATATGGTAGTCGTGGATCTCCGAGTAAATCTTTGTGAAAGCATCCGTGAGTGCCTGAGTTTCGTCCGGGGTATCTTACTCGAGATAGCGAGAGGTCCAAACCCGGGGGACGAGTAGATGCCACTCGTACTTTATGGAGATAAGGCGATCCTTCCAGCCTTTATTGTACGCGGGAAGATGAAAGATGGAGCAGAGATTGCCGCGAGACTGGGCTTGTAAAAAGCCCGACCCGTACCTGGCCGCTAGCGAGCGAACAAAGTAAATGAAGTTAAACAGCTCCATCATGCACGGGAGGCCGTGCCGAGCACATATCTGAGGAAAGAACGCAATGATTCGATGCGCGTTCGGGGTAACCTGCCCGGGGTAAGATCCCGTAGTATTGGAGGAAGGCGAGTATGAAAGGGCTTGATCGTCGTCCTCCCGATCGTCTAACACATCGTCTTCTTCCTTGGTGTCGGGTGGACGGCCGCTAGAGCCGTCAAAAATGGGTTTTACCCGCCAGGTTGACCCGTCCCGTACCACCGTAGGTAGGGGACAGGTTCTTCAAATTTTGATCCGCCGGGAGGCAGGCTTTTTAGACCCCCCCCCCCCCCCCCCCCCGCCTGGGTCACGAGTCCAGGCGGGTCAGGGGTTTAGCCCGCGACCTGCTATTACATATATATTTTGTATATATATTTAGTATTTAATACATACGGAGTATTATTTTTTGTGTTATTTTGATTTGTGTAATTGTGTTAGTGTGCTATAACTTATAGGATTATAGATTTATAGGCATACATTACTAGGTAGTGTTACTGTGTTGCCCCGCCTGGGTCACGGGTCCAGGCGGGTCAGGGGTTTAGCCTGCGACCTGCTATTACATATATATTTTGTATATATATTTAGTATTTAATACATACGGAGTATTATTTTTTGTGTTATTTTGATTTGTGTAATTGTGTTAGTGTGCTATAACTTATAGGATTATAGATTTATAGGCATACATTACTAGGTAGTGTTACTGTGTTAGTGTACTGTACGTCTGTACAGTGATTCTTTTTTTTTTTTTTGAAGGATATTGTACAGTGATTTAAAAAAAAAAAATTAACACAGTGAAAAAATTGATTGGCGGGGCGGGCCGACCACATTCCAAGCCCGCTAAGAGGCGGGCTTTTTAGCCCGTCCCGCTACGAGGACGGGCTTTGGTGTGTTTTGGCCCGTCCCATCCCGCGAGACCGTTTTGACGGCTCTAACGGCCGCCGGAGTGCGGAGGGGAATCAACCAGGAAAGCGACGGACCCAGAAGATGCGTCCTCCGCAGAACTTGTGCGCAGACCGGTTTCATCTTCACCAGCATAGTCTTGGACAGATACATTCTGACTGTCCGGGCTCGACATCCTCTCCTTAAAGGAAAAGGGGAGGGGGGCATTTTCAATAAGGACGCACGGGCTAAGGCCTCGATTGAGACGTTGGGACACAGTTACTAAGAAAAATGCAATAAAGATAAACTACAATCGGGAGGAAGAGAAGTCTTACCATTTGAACGATGCGAGCAAGCGTTGGGAGACCTGCGAAATCTTGAAGAAGCGAAGAGTTCAATCGGGATCCTCTGGTTTCGAGCGAAGGATTGGAAGTGAACAAATGGGCCCCAAGACCCCTATTTATAAAAGAACGAGGGTAAGAAAATTGAGTTTTCAAAATCCCAGGCGGCGCGCAACTCCCAAGGAATACGAATGGCTAACGAGTGGCAATCGAAGCCCCTCGAGGACGCCAGCTGAACTGAGTACCTTTCGCGGGGAACCTCTAGGCTGCGAACGTGCCGATCGACCCGACCTCCTTTCTATCCCGAACCCTTCCTTTGAATCCCTCGTCAGGCTCCGGGCTAAGGGGACTATGTGATGGGGATTATACCCTGGGTATACGAGCGACCTATAGCCGGGCAGTACCATGTCGCGTAGGCCCGGACGTCCCGATCAGCCTCATCCTGGGATCCTACCCAGTCGCCCAGTCAACTAGTTTGCGGCCCACGTGTTCAGTTGCATGCTTGCCTCCGCGGGACCCTAAGCATGGGCACCACGTGCTCGTCATGCCGGAAGACCAGACACTGCTCCCTAAGCTCTCTATAAATATAGCATTTATTACCCTGAGGGAGGACTTTTCACCTACCAGACACATTGTATTTAAGAGGTTCCCGGTCACACTATCAGACCGAACCTACCATTCTATTGTATACAACTACGGGTATTTAATCTACATCAGCTATAAACTAATCAAAACCACTAACTCAATCAACTAATAGCTATTTACCAAACACCCAAAATCTTTTGGCTCTCTTGACCCAAGGACCTGAACCAACTATGGATTTATTTGCCAAGGGCACACCGAATTGCTTATATTTATAGGAAAGCAAACTTTTAAGCTAATTGGATAAAAAGCACATCAAGCGACCATTTGCAAATACAATTACATATCTTTAATGCTCCTCTGACAGGCTATACCGGTCCGTTTTTGTTGATATTGTAAGTGTTAGTTTATTTTAATTTTTTTTTTTTTTTGGTTTTATTGTTTCCCTAGTGATTTTAAAAACAACAAAAACAAAAACAACTGAAAAAGACTTCACACACTAGTACACCACCATAAAAATTCCCCTCCAGTATCAATTTGTGTAGTAAAATAAAGTTTAATGGAGCGTTTGGTAGGATGAAATTGTAATTTTATTCCTACTAAATTTCATGAATTACAATTTCATATTTGGTTGACAGAAATTACAATTTCACAAAACTCTAATTTCCTTCAACCATGCAATTGCAATTCATAAGATCCTCTCGGAATGACAATTTCACAGTCCACGGAATTAGAATTCCGCACCTTTGAATATTTAGTTTATTTTATTTTTTTTATTTAAATTTTTTTTTTTTGGTTTTATTGTTTCCCTAGTGATTTTAAAAACAACAAAAACAAAAACAACTGAAAAAGACTTCACACACTAGTACACCACCATAAAAATTCCCCTCCAGTATAAATTTTGTAGTAAAATAAAGTTTAATGGAGCGTTTGGTAGGATGAAATTGTAATTTTATTCCTACTAAATTTCATGAAATTTACAATTTCATGTTTGGTTGAAAGAAATTACAATTTCACAAAATTCCAATTTCCTTCAACCATGCAATTGCAATTCATAAGACCCTCTCGGAATGACAATTTCACAGTCCACGGAATTAGAATTCCACAGCAAATAACAACTTTGCCCTTATTATTATTACCAAGAACATTTTAATATTTATTCAATTCTTCCCTTTTAATCTACTGTAGCAATAGAATTTGAATTCTTACTTTATTTTCATCTTATTCTTTTCCTACAAAATTACAATTCCTTTATTCTCCTAATTCTCTCCTTCCAACCAAACGTTCCTAAAGAGTTACTGTTGCAAAGGGAATTTGGAAAGGGAATTTTCTTTTTTCTTTTTTTTTTTCTTTTAAATATATATGCATGACATGGTTTGAAGATGACAAATCAACCCATCCCTTCAGCCTCACAAGTGGTCCTCCTCCATTAATACACTGAGAAACCTCCATTTCTTATCCAGCACCGCCACCCCCCCCCCCCCACACCCTACCCTGCGTGCCCTATCTCTCTTTTTTCCCTGAAACTAGAAAAAGGGCATAACCGAAGAAACCCACCAACCATATATATCATCGCACTGTGAAATTGACCAGAAAACTATAAACAAAAGGAAAAAGTAGTAAAAACAAGAATTGAAGAGGGAGTTAAACATGCCGGCAGTGGTTTGGAGTAGAGAAGAAGAGAAAGCCTTCGAGAATGCTATTGCCATGCACTGGGTCGAGGATTCCAAGGAACAATGGAACAAGATTGCGTCTATGGTTCCCAGCAAGAGTGTCGATGAGTTAAAACAACATTATCAATTGTTAGTTGAGGATGTTTGTGCTATTGAGGCCGGCCACGTTCCAGTCCCTACCTACATTGGGGAGGAACCCCCCACTTCTACCCATGGGAATTCCGCCATTACATCCTCTGATAAGCGATCCAACGCCGCCGCCGCCGCCTATGGAACTGGGTTTTCCGGCGCCGCCACCCATGACTCCGCCGCTCCCGGTGGTGGTAAAGGAGGCTCCCGCTCCGACCAAGAACGCCGTAAAGGGATTCCATGGACGGAAGAAGAACATAGGTATATATATACATATATATTCAATATTCATCTATATGAAGACCAGCAATTGGGCGGAGGCCGGTAAGGGTCAAGTCCAGTAGCATGTAACTAGGGGAATGTTGGGTGGTGGCTGGTAAGGGTCAAGCCCAGCACCATGTAATTAGGGAATTGTACTAAATCCAGTACCATGTGACTAGAATTGTTGGGTGGAAGGATCTAAGTCCAGGACTCTGACTCTAAAAATGTGGTGGCGGTATATAAGGAATTGCACATTCACTGTGAGTTGGGTTAGTGGTAAGGGCTTAGAAATGTTGGGCGGAAGGGTCTAAGTCCAGGACTCTGCTTCTAAAAATGTGGTGGTAGTATATAAGGACTCATTCACTGTGAGCTGGGTTAGTGGTAAGGGCTTAGAATTGTTGGGCAAAAGGGTCGAAGTTCAAGACTCTATCTCTAAAAATGTGGTGGCAGTCTATAAGAAATTGCACATTCACTGTAGTGGTAAGGGCTTAGAATTGTTGAGCGAAAGGGTCTAAGTCCATGACTCTGCCTCTAAAAATGTGGTGGCAATATATAAGGAATTGCACATTCGTTGTAAGCTGAGTTAGTGGTAAGGGCTTAGAATTGTTGGGCAGAAGGGTCCAAGTCCAGGACTCTGCCTCTAAAAATGTGGTGGCAGTATATAAGGAATTGCACATTCACTGTGAGCTGAGTTAGTGGTAAGGGCTTAGAATTGTTGGGCGTAAGTGTCTAAATCCAAGACTCTGCCTATAAGAAATTGCACATTTGTTGTGAGCCGGGTTAGTGGTAAGGGCTTGATTCTAACACTAAGCAGAATGAGATTGAATTATTGTGTGAATGTGAATGTGCAGGTTATTTTTGCTTGGTTTGGATAAGTTTGGGAAGGGGGATTGGAGGAGCATTTCAAGGAATTTTGTGATTTCCAGAACGCCAACACAAGTGGCTAGTCATGCACAAAAGTACTTTATCCGATTAAACTCCATGAATAGAGATAGGAGGAGGTCCAGCATCCATGACATTACTAGTGTAAATGGTGGAGACGTAGCAGCTGCCCATCAACCACCCATCACCGGCCAGCAAGTGAACCCTACCCCTTCCAACGTTGCAGCCGCCCTTGGACCCGCAGCCAAGCACCGAAACCAGGTCAACCCACATGGGGGGTTAGGCATGTATGGCGCACCCCTAGGCCACCCCGTGCCCGCTCCACCCGGCCACATTGCTTCCGCCGTAGGAACTCCAGTCATGCTCCCACCGGGGGTTGGGCACCACCCACCTTATATGCTTCCACTAGCATATCCAATTGCGCCACCGCAACCACCCAATATGCACCAATAATCAAATTCATGGTGCTTTAGGGGTGGCGGATGGGCACATCGAAAAAAAAATAAGAAAGAATATGAGTTTATAAGATCATGGGTTAGACCAGCTAATCAGATTTAATCTTTTAATGTAGTTTGACCCATGTGCATTATAGTTCAATTAAGTGACATTGGCTCAATCATAGATTATAAGAGTTTTAACACTTTTTCTCTCCTTATGTAACTAGGTAGATGGTTTTGTAAATACCAAGGTTATTGTTTTACTTCTTCCGAGGTATATACAATGAATGGCACAACAATATTAACATAACCTTGTACTTGAAAACTACATTGTTTAACAAAATTGCGTTACCAACGCAGTGTGCCTGTCAAGAGGTTTAAACGGCAGCTCAAAATTACTACTAACAGCACCAACAACACTTCCACAAAATGGTACCTATTTGAAACCCTAAAACAGGTGCAGAAAGTCTGATAGTTACAAAAACATGATGTATCTGGATGATCTACAATTGCTTAGTAGTGCTTAGATTTTAACGAAGCCGTTTAGTTAATAGGTGATAGAGAAACCGCTTTCGTCCCCAACACTTCCACCAAACTGGTACGACAGCCCGGCGCCTTTTTTTAGTAGGTTTTCCTGCATTCAGTGTCAACTATGGTTCAGAATAGTATACTGGAATTTACATTGTAATAGTGACTTTTTTGAATGACGAGGGGAACCCTACAACCCTTTCTGGTGTAGGTAAACTCCGCCTTGTGACCCTAGTCGGCAAATGACCACAAGTAAACTAGCCTAGGTTACCCATAGCTGATCGGCTCAAACTAAGGGGGGGGCAAGAATTTGAACTCGTGACCTTGTTTTTTTTTTTTTTTTGGGTGTACCCAGGGTTTCCACCGTCGAACACAGTGACTAATCCCCTCGCTAAATTGTAGGCACCTCTTTGGGTGGGACAGCTGGCCTGGAGATTTAAGGCTACTCCATACCCAAAGCCAAGGATCGAACCCTTGACCCTTTGGTTAAGGATGGATGAGTCCCTTCCACTCAACCACAACCCCCCAGGTTGAACTCGTGACCTTTTGGTTACAAGTGTGGATCTCTTGCTATCCTGGCTGGAGTTTACCCCCAGAAATAACGACTTTAAAAGGGTGATAGGAAGCACAGGTAGAGACTAGAGAGTGTTGTTACTACAAAAACCTGACAGAAAGAAAACGACTTGCTAGGAAAGCATCTATGAGGCAAGTGCCCAGAACAATGCAGGACGAAATGAAGATAGTTTAGACAATGGTTCACCGGATACCCAACCATCCATCCTCCTCATGTTCCGATTTTTCTTCTCTTTTATTTGTGATGAGTGGCAGGCAGTTCAGTATGGTGTTTTGCTAAACAACCATGATAAATCTTTTGCTGACAAACTAGGGACAGTATACCCAATATTGATGTTTCCTTTTACTCGGGAAAAAGCACATCCTATCAAGGTGGGATTTTTTTAATTTGTAGCTACAGGCGTGGTGTTTGGTGATGATTGATTCCATGAAAGATTAATATATATCCTCAAAACTGAAACCACCTTCAAAGGTCTTATAGATTTTACGAGAGAAAATCAAATGAAAAGAGCGGGGAAAGCACACTTAGAAAAAAGTGAAGAACTTATAAAACTTGAAAGCTAAATTGAGAGGCCTTATTGTGGAGGTATACTCACTTGTATTCTGGAAAGCGTACAATCCCCAGCGTGACAAAACCTTGTTGAAGTTGGACTCTAGTGTAGGCCAAAAGTTCATCTGTATTTTCATGACCTCCATTACGGTTCGTAATCCAGACTTGGAAGGTACAGTGCAATCCGGGTTGGCTTCTGGACTTTCGCCAAGCAAGACCTTAATGACAAGGGACTAAATTAGAAAGCTGCAAATTGCAAGCATTTACGAGAAAATGCATAATTTTGAATTGGGTTTCCAAGTAATACACCACAAGTCCATAACTAAGAGAACAAAACTTAATGTGATAGTTGGAGGGAGTGTCAAGTCAAATTCTGTGCGGCTAATAGCCTGTACTTTAAGTTGAAGAGTATGGCTTGGCAAAGCTTACCTTAATCACTGCTGTAGCTGAAGATGATATTGATCTAAGATTATACCTGAAAGATATAGCCACGTTATATATATATATATCATTGAGGCAATATTGTTACAAGGGAAATTGAATAGCACAAGTAAGGAGACTCACCCTCCCTCAAGGATGACAAGTAATTTTCCACCAGATAAAGCAGTTAACATTTGTGTCATCAATGCATAACCAGCAGGAGTTACCTACAAAGGATAGTTACATATAATAAAGTTAAGAGAGAAATACAGTACACAGAAACAAGCGAATGAGATGGATTAAAACGCCTCTTACATCACAACAACCAAGGGGATCTCCCCTTGCGGCATCAAATCCTGCTGAAATAATAGTAAAATCTGGAGCAAACTCCGAGGCTGTCATTAATTGTATAAAGCATTAGCATCTCTACCGATAAAATAATGTTAATAGTAATAAAACTCAAAACATGGCTTTAAAATAACACATAATATATGTAATGCATGAAGAAAATAAGATAAAAATGGAATAAATATAACAAAGGATGCAAAAAAGATATTAAAAATGGAAATTTCAATATCTGAAGAATATAATGATTGGTCTAAAAGTGTAATCTCAAACAACTTTTCCATTTATCTTCAACACAAACAAGCAATACAAGATAAATCTTCAAAGCTTTTATCACTGCCCTATTCCCCTCACTCCTCTGCTGCGTTTGGGAATATATTCTTAGGCTTTTTTTTTAAACCGGAATATATTCTTAGGTTATTAAGCAATAATTGCTCTTAAATTTCAAACTGAAAAAAAAAAGAAAAAAAAAAAAAAAAAAACAAAGAATATTACCAACCTATAGGAAGCACAATATGTTGAAATGCAAAAACATAATCATTGTCACCAACTCCACCACGACTCCATGGAATATTGATACAGTATCCTTCTGCACCCAAAGAACCAACCTGCGAAGGTGCATCAGCTATGATAAACTTACAACACACAAATAGAGCATTGAAACACATATCCCCTATGTGATTTAAAGTTTTTTAGATGATCCGATCCGGAGATCCCTCAAACTTTTAGATTAATGTGGAAATACATGCACACATATAGAGGCATCTCATGTACCTCTTCAGCAGCTCCAGTACCAGGATAAAATCTCCCACCTTCATGTCTATGCAAAGATATATACAGAACCTGGAATGGATCCAAAGAATCATAAAATTATCCGTAAGGTTGCAAAATGTAGTAGGAAAAAAAAACTAAAATAAAAACAAAAGTAACTTGTTTTACTGAACAACCACTAGCCTATAAATGGAGAATGGATGCTATCCACATTAGGCAAGACTTCACATATATTTTACTCCATGATAAACTTCTTAAGCATCCATGACTGTTTCTGATTTAGTATACTTCACAGTGTCCAAATAGAAACTTAACACAGCAAAAGTAAGATGCTCCTCATGAACTTTAACTTACTCCTCAATAAATTGTAGTGCAAGTAATCCTTATTGTTATCTTTTTAAAAACACTATCAAAAAGAAAAGTGTAATCTGGCAACTACAGACTCACCGATTTGCTTCTATCAAATATTTCTTGTGTTCCATTCCCATGATGTACATCCTGCAACCACGGTGTAAAGTAAGACTGAATAAGATATAGGTAATCACAAGGAACATCTTTGATCTTTCATTCATAAATTTCATAAATAAGGATAATAATTCAGTATGAAGTGACAGAGTTAACATCATTACCCAGTCAACTATTAACACCCTCTTTGCTCCTGCATTCTGAGCTGCAAATGCTGCAACAGCTGCATTGTTGTGAAGACAGAAGCCCATGGCCTGTTTCACACCAGCGTGGTGGCCAGGAGGACGAACCTAACTCAATTTTCCACATGAATTGATCTCAGTGACTTTTCCTTATCATTAGAGCACGTTTAGAGCTTTAGAATTTCCAACAAACAATCAAAGTTCAAAGCCTTACCAAAGCAAAACCATTTTTAGCACGTCCAGAGAAGATAGTTGAAGCAAGATCAGCACATAAACCTGCTGCAAGTCTAGCAGCACGTGCTGAATACTCATTTGCATATGTATCAGGAGTAAAATAACTGCCATTTTTAAAGATTATTCAATTAGAAGATATTTAAAGAAGATATAGGTCATCACTCACCCTGAGCCACGCATACATCCTCACTGGTAGCATGGTACCAAGGCAAGAATAGAAAGAGTGTGAATCAATGGCATAAACTTAACATACCTAGCATGAAGACGACTTGTAAGTTCCACAGCTTCAATATTCTCCAAAGCATGTACCTAAGCTCCCCAAAGTATACGATAGAATTATAATCCAAGAAGCTACTACTCTTTCCAAAACTTAAGAAATTCCATCTCCTAGCCTCTAACTAAAAGTTATATTCTCACAAGAACAGAACATTAAATTTCAAAAAACCTGAGGGCAAACCTAGCCACCTAGACCTAGACCTTCATTAAGAACTCCTCTTCCAGTCCAAACTCTCATCCACCAATATTTCGGTCCTCAGATAACTTGTAACGGTAAACAAGTGTTTTCCCATTATCTTACCATCAGAAGTTCTTCTCTTGTAATTTCTCTTGCTGAAATTGGATAACATTTCCCAGGAAATATACCTTCAAATATTAAGTAATGAATTAATAAATATTCTACAATAAATAGGTGCAACTTAGATGTGCTGAGTGTAAAATATTTTACAAAATTTATGCGTCCCAAAACATGCACTCCGGTCTGCTCATCTGTGACGTGTTAGTTGTTAAAGGGTTGGGAAATACCTGCACTAGCAAGACTAGCAGCAATAGCTCGAAGACGATCTGGTCTCTCAGGATGCGGGTGAGACTTCATTTCAACCTTTCAACAAGATAGAAATAGGAATAATGTCAACTATAAGAGAGAAGAGAGAATGAAGATTCAGGGCGTAACCTTAAAATTGCTGTCCCAGCAATTAAAAGAATCGTGAACGACTATACCTACTCAAATAATTATTGTTGTGGAAAACAGAGAAAATACGACAGAAAATAGCTCAGATCTTTATCTTTTATTTTCATTTATTTTTCTTCTTTCCTTTTTAATAGGTACCGCACGAGAAAATAAAAAATAAAAAATAGTTCAGAAAGAAGAAACAAATGAATGCTATAAAATGTAGCATACTTCAGCATGAAGCAGCATCCTCTCATCAAATCCGACCACGGTGGAGTCCGATGAAGAACCTTTCAGGCGTGAATCTAGAAAATGATTAACAGTTAGTAAAACCATTGAACAATGCATGATGTCACTACCAAGTTCTAATTGATAGTGAATAAGGAGTTACACTGTATTTTACAGCTAGCAAAGGTGCTATGCAAAAAAAAGGAAAAATGGTTATTTAATAGTTAGTGAAGGTGCTAACTAAACAAACCCCTTTATTGTAAGGAAACATTTTTTACCTTCTTCATGAATGAGTATATAAGTATATTTATTAGTTATTAGTGGCTCATACAAAGTACACAATAAGTATGGATAGGAACACCTGTATTTGGCTCGACATTGGACAATTCCTAGACACTAAGCCAGGGAACTTTACATTTTTCTATATTTAACAGTTATCGAAGGTGCTAAAAAAAACCCCTTTATTGAAAGGAAACATTTTTTACCTTCTTCATACTAATTAGTGACTCCTAGATAGTGCAACAATGAGTAGGGATAGGAACACCTGAATTTGGCCTGACATTTGACAATTCCTAGACACCAAGCCGGGAACTATAGATCATGTTACGTTTTCTATATTTTTCCATTTGGCCGGCCAGAACAAATACTTTAATTAAGTAAAAGTATTTTAGAGAAGTCATTGTATATTACAAGTCACAACCTTTTGATCTTTCAGTAGCTTCCAATTCATTTTCTGTTATATCTCCCTTTGGCAAGAATGGAGAGGCAAAATGTCCAAATCTAAGAATTCCAGAATCTTTGTGCTCTCCACATATCTGCATATTATAAAATATCCTATATTGTGGTTCTTCAAAAATCATGAATATACGATGAATTCCAATATGCATAAAATGAACACAGATAATAGAACCGTACGTCGCAATGCACAACATCACTGAGGTTAACCATGGTACAATTAACACAAAACCACTTAACAACTTCTACTTGTTTTTCTAATGGATCCCAGTCACTATCATCATCCTCGTCATTGAAATCATAATGTCCATTATAAATGTCTTCCAAGGTCATATCAATCTGCTGCTCTCCATTTTTCTGCAATTAATAATAACGTTATAACCACAAACCATCAAATATGGATTTCAGATATTAACAGAATAAATGAATCATGTAACCACGGGTATAACAAGTGGCTCATTTTCTGAATTAGAAATGCCCACCAAGTGTCTGGCAGAGATTCCAGATACATCCTCAGAGTTTTTCACATCATGACTAGTATTATCACTAGATGCTACAGTTCCCTCCTCTCCAACTCTCCCTTTTAACTCTTCACGAAGCAACTGTTTCCTTCGACTATCATTGCCAGTCTCATCATTATTTAAGTGGGTCATTTCTGAGATCTTTGCACTCTCAGAATTGATAAGACACTCTCTATTCAAATCATTCCTGTACGTACAGATATCACAAGCATCATGCAGAGTTAGATTAATTGCAAAAGATATCAAACCAAGAAAAAGTCAATGCATATGAGATAAAGGATTCATATTTATAAACAGACAAGAAAATTCAAGGCCATCAGCAGAGTATAGAAGCAAATAGCTAAATGCTGTATCTAAGCCATAAAGAAGTTAAGCTTTTATAATGAATTCAAAATTTTCAAAACATACACTAACTTTCACAAGACAGCACAAAGATGTAAACATCAGGAATCTTGAGTACAGCATGGTACAAGTCAAAAAAATATGTTCTTGATTATTTCTGAACCACCCTTAAACCTCATAGCAGCACCACCAAAAAATAAAAATAAAAATAAAAATCTTAGTAAAATTGAATTACTAAAGTAATCACTATCCTTGTCTCCAAGAGAATGACACTGAGACATAATTAAGCTCCAATCAAAAAATTAAAAATTAAGCAAACAAAACATTTTATTTTTACTTTATCCAGAGCTGGACATGAAAAGGCTCTCAAGCACATCAGAAAAGAAGTTGAGGATAATATGAAGCATGCAAAGCTATTTTGAGCACCAGTCCTACATAGAGCTTAACATTTCAAAAAAAAAAAAAAAAAAAAAAAAAAAAAAAAAAAAAAAAAAAACTGTCACTCTATGGAAGTATTTATGCTTCTATGTTAACACTAACATTTTGCATACAAAATGCAGCATTTTTGTTCATTTATACATATATTTATATATACTCGATGAAGTAAAATATATATACCTACCCATGTATAGAAATAGAATGTAGGGATATGTATTTTGCGGATTTTGGTAGAGAAAATTGAATCGAAATGGAGAATCTGAAAACAGAAGAAAATATTCGAAAAATTTAAGGTAGAAGGAGAGTAACGTACGAGGTTAGGGCAAAAGTGGAAGCTAACGGTACCGCTGCGGAGTGACGGAGAAATATCTTCGAATGCCGGGGAGTAGAAACCGGAGGAACAAAAACCGGGGCGCGAGTATCTATTGGGTACAGTGGATTTTGTAATTAAAAAAACATAAAACCATCCAACTTTTCTATATTTATATTTTTTACCACAACTTTTGATTATTAGCACTAGAACACAAAGGTGGGTACCCACATACCCACACTTTATCGGGTTTTTTTTTTTTTTTTGGAATAAACGGTGAAGAAATATATTAATAATAGTAGTCAAACTCAAGAGCATGAGCAATACAAGGAAAAGGAACCGAAACGCAAACCATATAGTCAGACTTAAACACGGCTTCTCGAGCTAACTCATGGGCAACTTTGTTCGCGGACCGCCTAGCAAAATGAAAGCTGAAAATTAGAAAAGTCTCTAGCTATCTCCCTAATGTCATTAATAATCAAATCAAAAGAAGAACATAAACTAGTATTGATTGACTTAAATGGATAAAAACGGATCGTTATGCTGTGCATCCGTATGCACCATGCATGGTGCATACGGATGCAAAAACGATGTTGTTTTATTAAAAACACGCATCCCACTTTAAAAAAAAAATCAGTTTCGATTCCCCTCAACAGCATTATGTTGTTCATTCATTCTGAAATTTTAGTTCATAGATTTTGAAATTTTAGTTCATAGATTCTGGAATTTTAGTTTATTGATTATAGATATTTAGACGTGAATCGAAACTGATTTTTTTTTCATTCATGCTGGATATTTAGTTCATTCATTATGGATATTTAGTTCATTCATTATTGAGTTTTAGTTCATAGATTCTGAAATTTTAATTCATAGATTCTGAAATTTTAATTCATCGATTTTGAAATTTTAGTTCATTGATTCTGGATATATAGTTCAAATTATGCACAATATAATGTTGTTGCTGAGAATCGAAACTGTTTTTTTTAAGTGAGACGCGCGTTTTTAATAAAATGACGTCGTTTTTGCATCCGTATGCACCATGGATACACAGCATAATTTGCCGACAAAAATTGACAATTTTTTTTGAGATAAAAGACTTAATGCATTAAATCAGAATGAAGACAAGCAACAAGATAAGGAGGAGGATTGTCAAACCACTCCCCGCAACCTGACATAGAAACAGCTTCCCAAGCAACTAAGTGGACAGCACGATTCGTAGATCGCTTCACAAAACAGAAGTCTACACCATCTATCGTGGATGCAACTTCTTTAACATCGTCAATAATAAAACCAAAGGAAGAATTAAAAGAATTCGAACGTAATGCTAAAAAAACTAATTGAGAGTTTGTCTCAACATCAACGTCTCCATGCATGTTCCCTTGAGCCAACTAAGTGCTTATCTTATACAAATCGCCTCCGCCTCTTTGACACTATATTGGCCCGGAATACAAATGCCCTTTGCTGCCAGAAAAATACCTCCATCGTCACGCAATATTCAACCAATACCCATCCTATCATATTACTTATAGTGTCAAATGCAGCATCCGTATTAAGCTTAAGTCCACCTGATGATGGTGGCTTCCACAGTTCATGCACTGGACTCGGTAAATGGGTCTGCTCACCCAGATTATTTGCTGCCTTCCAGTTACTCAGGAATGAAAGTGCATTATGAACAACATCATTACATACAAATGGAAAGCCCTGGATAGATAATTTTAGGCAAAACTCCTTTGAGACTTGCATTTGTCAAACGCAAATCCCAAAGAAGTTTCTTCAATTTCTTAAAATCATATTTTTAAGTGTGAAATACAGTTTCTCATATATATATATATATATATATATATATATATATATATATATATATATATATATATATATATTTATATACGACTCGTAGTTTACGCGTACATAAAAAATGCAAGTTGCACTTGCATTTCTACCAAATAAACCCATCCTGTTTTATTGGAGTGGTAGTGGACTTGCTTTTCTTGAACACAATAGCACAAGACTCGGCATTATTGCTCTTCTTCTTCCTCCTCTGAAAGGATATTTTGGGTTTCCTGGCAGACTCAAATCGATGATGATCAACGGTGTTACACTTGCTGGCCTTGTTGGCCGTCTGAAGAGGGGACGAAGCAGTAGCGTCTTATTTTTTTTCGATATTATTCAAATATGATAATTAAAATTTTTAATTATCACTTTAAGAAATTTGTGAAATATAATTTGAACTAATCTTTTTTTTTTTTTTTTTTTACTTATCAATACTTTAATATTGGGCATGAATTTTCACGTAATACACATGCTAATATGAAACAATTATGCAATCAAATAACTTTTTCTAATCATCTCATATGCAATGATGATTAACAAAAGTAAAAGTCAATCCCTTTCATATGTTGACCAATTTTTGAAGATACTAGTTTTCAATTACGGTTAACAATTGAAGTGGTTTGAAAGTCTTATTAATTTGTGATTGGAAACCAACAAAGTAATTCAACACTAAATATTGTTCAAAATTTGTAATATGTTATTTTACATTGTTATCATAATTTATTTTATTTTGTAATATCTTTTCACTATTTTTAATTTCTTATTCAAATTTATGGTAAAAGGCAACATATTATCTTGCATATATCGCACGAGTAAGACACTATTTTGGTGATGGAGAAATACATTGTTAACCAATATGAATGTGACACAATTTGTCAATATAAGAAAATATAGAGACAGTTTTGTAAAATAATACTTTATTCTTCATTTCTTAATTTTGAGACTGAGGGTGTGTTTGCTTGTTTGGAAACTAGAAAAATGACTTATCAAAATATATTTTCATTTTCAGTATTTGGTTGTATTCCAGAAAACTAGCTTATTGTGTTTGATTTATTTTTTTTTTTTCCAAAAAATGAGCAGAATTGTATAATTAAACATGTTAATTATTTTTCTTTAAAAAAATATTTTAATTGCTTTGTTTAGAATATACTCCATGACATTTATAATAATAATATAATAACAATTTTAAATATAATCAAAAAATCAAAAAATAACTACAAAGTAATAAGATATCAAAATATCTAACCAAAGTCTCAAAATAACAAACCAAAATTACAGTACAATTGATATATTATGTTACCTTGTAATAAAAAGCAAAAATCATCATCATAATTTTTCTTAATCAATGACAATTTTGAGGTTTTGTATTAATGATAACATTTCATCAAGGCAGACAAGGGTGGAGACTGGAGAGCAAGCAATGGCAAATTTTTCAAGGGTGGAGACTGGAGAGCAAGCAATGGCAAATTTTTCTAGGTTTGGCACTGGGAATTCAAAATCTATCATTACCCTCAAATCCCTTATCCCTTACCCCTTACCCAAAGGCTAGAGTTGTTGAGCATATAATATATGAACATGTATATGCCATCCAACCATCAGCTTAGACTTAGAGCCTTCAGGCTTCAATTATACTGATAAAAGCGATTCAACAAGCAAATTTCTGTCCCAGAAAGCTGAAAGAACTTACAACCCAAAGAAAGTAAAAAAAGGAAATTTTGAAATGGCTGCAAGCCTGCAATCAAGTTGAAATGAATATTATTAACTCAAAATAAATGCCATTTCACAGAATGCATTGCATAATATTCAAGAACATTCTCTTCAATTCACATGCGAAACCCATATTCAATTCACTAGCCAAAGCTTTTGAACTCGGGGAAGTGTTAATAATCATCCCTTGTTATCAATATCTGAAAGGGGGTAATCTTTTTTCTCATCAACATAGTTCAATGTACCACTTCATATTTGAATGTCAAAAGCCACTAGATACTGTCCTTTTCTCGTTTCAGGAGTTTATCCCTGCACAGACAAGTTGAAAATTACATTAGTCGAACACCAAAGACAGCTTGGTGCAAACAGGAGAAGCAACCTAACAGAACAAAACGATTCAGCAATGTTGCATTCACAACCTTTTTACAGCATCAAAACCGAGGAAAACATGTCGGGGACAAGAAGCTGCCAAAGTCTTAGTGACTTGCAGAAAACCAAAGTGCTAGGAAAATAGCAAACTAGAAACCATTGATATTCAAAGGTGCAATTTATCCAAAACCCCAAAAAAAACTATCAAGGGAATAAACTGTTGTGACTTGGTTGATCTGGAAATACCACTATAAGGCAATGGTTTTTGTTTTCTGCTTCTTCAAGTAACTGAAGTTCATTATAGATAGTTCAATATGGCATTTATGATCCTTATTTCAAGATTTTCTTTTTATTTTATTGGCAATGAAAGTACTAATTGCCAATCAGCAGCTCCATCCAAAAAAAACAGTAAATTCATCAGTTAATAACGAAAAAAAGGGGCTATTTTTCCTTTAGGTTAAACTCCACCTTTGTGAAAAATACAACATTTCTAATCATTATTTCAAAATTTCTTTCCATACCTACAATGAAACAACTAACCGCTAATCAGTAGCTCCATCCCAAAAAACACAGTGCATTCTACAATTAGTATAGTAACCAGGAAACAAAGTTCATTTTCCTCTGATTAGACTTCAACTTTGTGTAAAATATGGCATTTCTAATCATTAATTTAAGTTTTCCTTTTTACTACTACCTGCAATGAAATAGCTAATCACTAATCAGGAGCTCTCAGCCCAAACAGTACAGTAAATTCTACAAAAAATAAAGCAAAAAAAAAAAAAAATCTTTTAACCCTTGATTAAACCTCAACTTTGTGTGATATATGGCATTTCTAATCATTATTTCAAGATTATTTTTTTCCAGCCAGCAATGAAATAACTAATCACAGACAGTAATCCCACAGTCCATAAAGCAAATGCAAAGAAAATGGAAGAATTGGAAATGTGTGGCTAAAGATACCCACCCGGGTGCTAAAGGTCTCCTGAAACTCAGAGGTTTCTTCTTTGCTTTGCTTCATCTTCATCTCTTCTTCATACTTCTTCAATCTTTCATTCCAAATCTCCTTCAATTATTAATAAAATAAAAATAAAAATCAATGAAAAAAAAGAGGAGATATAATTACTGAATTAACACAAGGATTTGGAGAAGTTGAGACCTTGTACTTGAGTTCAGCACGATGCATTGCATAGAAGCCAAGAATGCCTCCGGCAATAGTCCCTGTGATTATTCGAAAATACCCCCACCTTGGCGATCTCATTTCTCGCTGTCTTTCTCTGATGCGTTGTTTTCAATCTCCTTTCTTCTCTGCTCCCCCGTTTGCGTCGGCCGGAGTGAGATACTGAGATGGTCCGAAAAAATCAGAGCCCATTTCAACCACATTTTGATTGAATAAACTCTCTAATTTTGGGAAAAGGGTCAAATAAACCTCTGAACTCTATAGGAGAAGTCAATTAGGGGCCGCACCGTACAATAACTAAGGAGTCAGAGTCAGGAATAATACCTGTTGCTGTTGTCGCCGTCGCCGTCGCCGTCGCCGGAGATTGTCGCGTCACTGCACAGATCACCCAGAGGGCTGCAACGTGCGTGGAACTGTGGAGGGTGGAAGACTGGAAGTGAAATAGAATAGGAAATTAAGGAATTTTGGGGTTAGGGACATAGGGTTTACATATATATAATTTTTCAAATCTTAAATTTAATCAATTTTTTTTTTTAAAAAAAATTAATATCTATATTTTTTTTAAAAAAAATCTCTTCATTATCAACACTTCATTATCCGTTTTCAAAAATAAAACTTCATTAACCCGGAAAGTGTGGTTGAGTGGAACGGACTCATCCATTTTATTTAACCAAAATCCAAAAGTCCTATTTAACCAAAGTCTAAAAGTCAAAGGTTCGATCTTTGGCTTTGAGAATGGAGCAGCCCCGATGAACTGTGTCCGTCGGGAAACCGTAGGTATACCTTCATTATCTCTCCATTAAATATTTTTTCTAATCAATGTTGTAAAATTCCTTATTGTTTGGTCAGATTTTTTTATTTGAACATTGAAAGTGACTAAGATTAAATAGTTTTGGACTGATATAGTATATACGGTTGTAGTATGCGTATGGACAAAGTCTGATCCTTGGGCCCCTGAGTTTGGATCGAGAGGCTCCAGTTCAGGTAAGTGTCCAAAAATCCCTTCAATATGCATTTAATGCGCTATTTATAGGGGGAGAGGGTGTCAGCCCGGGATTCCGGCATGTCCGCCACATGGCGGTCATGCACCGGTCACAAGCAAGGCCGGCTAGCTGGCCTCCACGCGGTAGCCAAGGCCTGTACGAGGTCCCGGCCTTCAGGATCGAGCCCGGTCAGCTGACCGACGATGGTCGCTCGGTCACGCAACATCCTGCGCCTGGGGCAGATCCCCCGACCGAATGGCTTCTGCCAGTGGGTCGGTCGGGAGGCGTCAGACCGGGTCGGGAAGGCCCGAGCGGCCCACTGGGTCTCCAGCACGTGACTCGTCATCTGGTGTACTACGGTCGGGTAGTCCGGCACCCGAGGGTATAACCCTATCACATAGCCCCCTTGGCTCGCGGGTCCGCCGACAGCCAGGAGAAGGAGCCCGAGCCATGTTCCAGGTTCTGGGTGCGTGGTGCCGGTGCCGCGGGTGTTGCGTCTTACAGTACACCTTCAAATGCTGGCCATTCGCAGGGGCGCCTAAACGTGTGTCATACCGGTGGGTTCCTCGAGATCTGGGCGGAAAACCCTGGAGTGGGCGCGTTTTCCCGCCAACGCACACCCTTATAAATAGGGGGGGCACTGGGGACCCACTACGCTTCCACTCTCTCACGCAAGGATCGGACGTTCTCGGACGACAATTGGCTTTTTCAAAAAAACTTTATAAGTGCTGCCGATCGGTACGTATTTCTTTCCCTGTTCCTTTCTTTACATTTTTAGGATAGGCTTAGGCTCTTTAGAACCGGTTGGCTTATCCCGGGGACACCGTAGAGCGCGATCGTTGAACAAACTCCCCCTTCGTCTTTTAGGGGCGGAACCATGTCAAGTTCCGACAGCCAGAATCGTTCGGTCCAAGATTACGAGAGCGGCGGTGGCAGCGAGTCCGAACGTACGGCTACCGACGGCTCATCATCCGGGCATTCCGGGGAAGCGCGTCGCGGAGGAGACCCTACGCCTCGGGGCAACCGTGGCGACGAACGCATGTCCCCTCGGTCGGGCGACGACAACGTGCCGGGGGGTGCCGCCCGTTCTGGCGAGGGCGGTGAGGAGACCGATCGGGAGTCTGCTCGATCGGGAGATAATGACGACGGTGACGATCAGGCGTCTGGGCGATCGGCAGAAGGGGACGCGGTCGGTACGGCTGAACAAAATCCTCAGGCGTACGGTAATCAGGGTCGGGGTTTACCGTCCCACGCCATGGTGGTCGCCTTCGACCCGACCCTTTCCCCCGCGTCCGCAACCCGTCTAACCGACGATCTTATGAACAAGAAGCGGGTCTTCTTCAATAGTTCGTCCGCCAAGCGGCATCGGAGCCTCTTAACAAAGAAGGAGGCCGAAGACGCGACCACCCTCCTCACCGGTCAAGTTCTCTACAACACTCGCAGGTCATTGGTGACAATCAAGGATCGCACCCAAGGGCTGTGGCTCGGGATGCACCTAGATTCTATCAAGACCCCTCTGACTTACCCCTTTAGCCCTTTTCTTTTGGCCTTCCTTGATTACTACGGCGTGCTCCCGGGGCAGATTTGCCCGAACGCGCACCGGATAATCGCATGCTTTCCTCAGATTTGCGCCCGGCACGGCCTCGCGAGCACGATGGAGCTATTCAACTTTTTGCATACCGTCCACCCACTCGCTGCCAAGTATGGCGGAGGCTTCCTAATGGCTCAATCCCGGAGTCACCATTGCAACATCCTCCACCTACCAGCCAACAACCGGGGGTGGAAGAACCGGATTGTCTCTATCGAGTACCCGTGGGAGCTCCCGGTTCCGAGGAAATGGTCGTTTCATTTCGCGACGTGCAAGCGACCGGAGGCGACCGAGGCTCTTCAACAAGCAGCCGCAAAGATCTCCTCCGAATCTTACGAGTTTCAGATCTTTCGATCGGCCACCGAGTATGAGGCTGCCCAATTGGAGCCTCCTCGGTACGATCTCCCAGAGAAGTATGCTCCGCGCCGGGCCGACGTAACGATGGCCGCACCACCTCCCACGCTCGTCCCCGAGGGGGAAGGTCCGCTACACAACGTTTTACGCTTTGGTTCCGCGCAAAACCTCTTTCCTTCATATAAATAAACCCTCTAATGTTTATTCTTTTCCATTTCGCAGATATGAAGACCGGTCGAAGCTTCTCAACTGCGCCTTCAACCGTCAAGGCTCCCCGCCCGAAAGCGGCTCTAGGCGGGAAGAAAGTCGCCGTACCTGACCCGGCTCTAACTGAAACCTCTGGTCCCACCGTTCCAGTTGCCTTACCCACAAACACGACCGTCCGTGTAGACGCGGCGGTCCCGACCAGTAGTACCGGGTCGGATCTTCAGATATTCAAGGCTACCGGCAAACAGGGGAAGGAGAAGGTTGGTGAGTTAGAGGGGGTCCTCAAGCGCGCACGTCGGCAAAGTCCCCCGGACCTGACTCCACTAGTGAATTCCCTGACCGGCGGGGATTCGGGGAACCCCTTGGCGAAGATGAGCGCCATCTTCCCGGCCGAGGATGATATGGCCGGCTAGACCCCAGAGCAGGTCTCCGAACGAGGGGCCCAAAACCTGGTGCAAGTATCTTCATCTTTCCTCAGTCGGTTTTTAGCTCGACTTTATCATTTTAGGCTAATCACTATTTTTCGACAGCTGACCCGGGTGTTGACTTCCTTCTACTACCGGGCTAAGAGCGGAGTAGAGACCGACTCCCTGAAACGGGAGATAAGAGACTTGAAGAAGAAGGTCAAGGCCGCCGAGGATGGCAAGTCGATCGTAGAGACGAACGCCAAGAAGGCCATCGGGGAAGCCGCCGAGGCCAGGAAGGAAGCCGAGGACTCTCGGCAACAGCTCCAAGACCCCGACCGTCTGGCTGCTTTCCTCTGCCGGGACCAAGCGTCAGCCGAGCAGTTTTTCAAGGCTTTTGTGAAGCATAAGCTGGCCGAGGACCAGATGTGGGTATTCGGCAACTGGGCCTACGCGACGGGGCAGAGGGACACGCATCGGGACGTGCGGTCGGTCCTTTCTGAGGTTTTCGACGGTGATGATCTGCGGATCATCCTGTCTAACCTCCCGGAAGACGTTGCTGACCCCGGGCCCTTGCCCTTTGCTGAGGAGGAGGCCTCCAACCCACCCGCCCGAGCGACCGACAAGATCGGGGACACCAAGGCCGATGAGGGGAAGACCGACGACGCTGGGGTAAGTCAGTAGCGTGCCGGTTGAAGTGCTTATCGGGAGCCCGGTCCCGCTTGTGCCGGGTGCTACCACAACAGTGCCCGTGGGGCTTTTTTGGTTAATAATATTACGTTTTGGTCAGCTCGCATTTTTCACTTCTTAATTTTAAGTTTGAGCGCTTTGCTTTTTGTTAATGCCCTTTGTTAAGTCCGACTACTTTGGGTTTTGTTTTTGTTTCTCCCCGACGGGTACCCAGCCCCCCGGGCCGAGCTTCACGCTGTTAGGCGGAGACGGTCGGGCCACTTATCTTAGGTCCAACGCATGTATAGCCCCTCGAGGCCGAGGCGCTAAGTCCTCCGGTCGGTTAGGGATCGGGCTAAATCGCGACGCTGATTTCCGTAGAGAAAACGCGTGTATAGCCCCCCGAGGCCGTGCGCTAAGTCGTCCGGTCGGTTAGGGATCGGGCTAAATCGCGATGCTGATTTTCGTAGAGAAAATGCGTGTATAGCACCACGAGGCCGAGCGCTAAGTCGTCCGGTCGGTTAGGGATCAGGCTAAATCGCGACGCTAATTTCCGTAGAGAAAACGCGTGTATAGCCCCCCGAGGCCGAGCGCTAAGGCGTCCGGTCGGTTAGGGATCGGGCTAAATCGCGACGCTGATTTCCGTAGAGAAAATGCGTGTATAGCCCCCCGAGGCCGAGCGCTAAGTCGTTCGGCCGGTTAGGGATCAGGCTAAATCGCGACGCTTATTTCCGTAGAGAAAACGTGTGTATAGCCCCCCGAGGCCGAGCGCTAAGTCGTCTGGTCGGTTAGGGATCAGGCTAAATCGCGACGCTGATTTCCGTAGAGAAAACGCGTGTATAGCCCCCCGAGGCCGAGCGCTAAGGCGTCCGGTGGGTTAGGGATCGGGCTAAATCGCGACGCTGATTTCCGTAGAGAAAACGCGTGTATAGCCCCCCGAGGCCGAGCGCTAAGTCCTCCGATCGGTTAGGGATCGGGCTAAATCACGACGCTGATTTCCGTAAAGAAAACGCGTGTATAGCCCCCCGAGACCGAGCGCTAAGTCGTCCGGTCGGTTAGGGATCGGGCTAAATCGCAACGCTGATTTCCATAGAGAAAACGCGTGTATAGCCCCCTGAGGCCGAGCGCTAAGTCGTCTGGTCGGTTAGGGATCGGGCTAAATCGCGACACTGATTTCCATAGAGAAAACGCATGTATAGCCCCCCGAGGCCGAGCGCTAAGGCGTTCGGTCGGATAGAGAACCAGGATAAAGTTTAAGCGACTTTGCGATTGGCATCGGTT